ATATTACGAATAATAATTAGCCTAACCTTTATTAATAATTTATTAATACGAATTTCCTTTTTAATAATTTCTTTAACCTCCCTTTTCCTCATTTTTCTATTAACTTCTATACTAGAAATTACTATTAATAAAAAGCTAGATTATATCTTGTCCCGCTTTATTATAACATATTTAATTATTGGATTAATAAGTATTTAATTGATTTTAGAACGTTAAATACCTTCGTTAATATATATAGAATATCCTTTAATAATTAGTAGCGCTAAAGGAAATGTAATAACGTTAAATTAATCTTCTTTACTAACTAGCTTCTTAAGCGGTATTAAAAGGCTATAATTTTTGTATAACAGGACTATTATATTATATATTATAGTATTTTTTATAATAGAGAATATTTTTTACTTCTTTATTATATAAAAAAAACAATTCTTTTTAATAGATTTATATTCCCTCCAGTTAAATATTTCTTTATTATAATCTTTATCAAGAGAAACGTACCATCTTTTCTTTAATATAACCTCTAGATTAATTACTAATATAAAAGGATTAGCCAACTTTAATAATACAATTTCTAAGTTAATACGGTAAAAACCAACCTCCTTCCAAATAAATTTAATATTATTTCATTTAAATACTATATTATATATATTATTTAAACTATCAAAGAAAGTAAACTTAATATATTTAATAACGCTATATATAACTCGCTTAAATATATCCTTCTAATAATAATACTTATAGAATTAAAAAATACTAATATCGAATAACTATAAAAAATAAGTTAAATAAGGGGGGAAGAAGAAAAGAATAATATTATTCTTATAATAACGCTCGTAAAATTCGATAATATAATAACTATTATAATTACCTAATACTAATAACCGCTTCTCCTTATTACCAAATAATTTAGTATATTACTTTTAATAATCAAACTAATATAAAGTAAATTAATTATTAATATACCATTTTAATAAGGTAGTAAAAATAATATCGTCGTAAAGGTAATTATTAAAATAGTTTTCGCTAATTTAAATACTTAATAAAATAATAAATATTAGAATAACCCGTCCCGCTATTAATATAAATTTAATAACTATTATTAACTCTTTAATATTTAAGTTAGATATTTAAATCGAAGGTATTTTAATATACGTCCAAACTATATAATTCTTAATAAAATAGCCGACTTAATTACTAAATTCATTCCCATTCTATTAATTATTTATAATAATATTATTATCTTCGATAACTTCACAATATTAATCAAATACGTCTTCTATAGAACTTCGTAATTATATTACTTTTCGAACCTAAACGAGGGATTTAATACGTATAATCTTAAAATCGTTATTACGAACCATATATTCTTAAACCTATTATCTATTAATATTGTCTAATTTATTATTTATATATTAAATTTATTATATTACTATTTAGAATTCTTAATTTATTACCTCTATCCCTATATAAAATTAATTTAAATATAATTAATACTAATTAAATATAAAAAGGGTTAACTAATTATTAATAATACGTATATTTACCTATAATAATATAACTAAATCCTCCTCCTCTATTAATTTCTTATTATGATTACTATTCTATAACTTTAATTATACGCTGTTTATACAACCCTATAATACAAAATATAGCGTATTAAATATAGTCGAAGCTACCCTAATACTTTTAAATCTACCGCGAAAGAAAATAACAGCGGCAATATTAATTATTATATTAATAACGTCTTTAGGAATACCCTCTTTATAAAGTTTATATCTCGTCTTTTTAAAAGGTATTGTAAATTCGATTGTTAAAAAATATAGTAATTTAATTAGAAGTATATAATATAATTAATAGTATAAAGGAGGATAGATTTCAGAAAGCGCGTCGCGATTGAGCTAAATTAGGCTAGCATATATACATATAATATTTAATAATCGATTACGAATATAGACATCACATACACATACTAGAATATTCAAAAACGTCAAAGTTATACTACAATTTAATTTGTACTATTAAAATAAAAACTACAAAAAAAATAAAATAATAACTGAATATAAAATCAAACGACGAACAATCTAGCGCATTTATATTTTAAATATACGTATTATATAATTAGGAATCTAAATATAAATAACTTTAATATATTTAGCAATATTTAATTAAACCGAGCTACCTTCGTTTACTAGTAATTTTATAGGTGGCCAATATACCAAAACTTTATTGCTAATTGCCCTGGTTTTGCTAATTGCCCTACCAAACTATTAGTTTCGGCTAATAGTCTGTGGCGTTTCGAGCCCAGACGAGTAGTATGACCACAGTAGATGCAAAACTGGAGCGAGCACAGCAGGCGCCACTTGGTGGTGGAATTCCGATGTCATGGAAAGTGCACCCCCACTCTGACTGCTAGATGGTTCCTTTTTCTACACCCCCTGTACTTAGGTACGTACTTGCCAGAAGTACAAACGATTGGCACTAAACGCCAACGGCACCTTCCCCGCACTGCAACCCTAACAGGGAACGCCGGGGCTTCTAGATTCCACTTGAGGTGGAGGTCGACCAACCCCCTGAAGCTGAACACCCTAAAATCCTCCGCTAACCCCGCGCCCGTATACTCAACAGATTCGGAGCTAGGAAATCATGGAGGACGGTATGGGGCTCGCAGTCGTCGGGTTTCTGGACGGTAGAAGCTAACGTTGCACCGAAAAGTCAATACTTTAGCGGCTTTCCGTCATTGGTTTTATCATCGAATGCAGAAGCCGCGAGTGGTAACTAACGGCCTGCTATGTTGTCATGGACAACAGTATCAGGAACAACGCTATCTCGAACAAATCACCCACAAGACATCAAGACCAAGTTACCCCGACCGGGAAGCCGGCATTGGGATTTGTCTAGTGAAAGGCGGTAAAATATCCCATTTCCACTTCTCAGGGGACCAAGGGCCACAGCGGAGTGAATGAGAATCGGGATCTCACGAGTGTTACCGTTTCAGGTTAGATCACGGGACCACCGTGGAGGAAGTGAGGCCATCGCTCGGTTTATTCTGGGGCGTAAACCCGTCGGTATTCGCGAACAATCAGCCCAGTCAGACATCCATGTTCCCATTGATGAGGGCAGACCCGTCGGTTAGAAGGAAGATGAATGAGGTGATGGGTTAGACGTGCTCAGACGTACTCCTCAGAGTTTAAAGATCCATGGGCATGGATTGGGGCCCAAAATGCTAGTGCCAGCCTTGCACGACGGTCCTGTCCAACCCCACAGTTTCGTACCCCCCGCCCCTCCCCCACTCTTTGACTTCCTCCGGCTCACTCCCGGTCGTCCCCTCGCCAAGACCAAATTGAGAACTCCAACTCTCCAAGAAGCAAAAAATCCCAACGAGATGGCGCACCCACGGCACACCCACGGCACCACAATCAGCGCGCCATTGGGAGAGGGTCTCAGGCTCCCAGGCACGCTGCACACTCAGGCATTCTTCGGTTTAAAAAAAACCTTGATGGTCTTGTGACCTGTTGCGTACGATCCTAATCTTCGGATCCCCCCGATCCCAGAAGGCTTCAACCAGCTTCCGTCGAGCTTTGCCTGTGAGCAGTCTCACCGCTAGCCAGCAAGCTGTCATCCCGTGTTTTGGTATCTCGGGAACTCCTTCAGGGATACCTATACTCGAGCTACAGTATGGCAAAGTAGAGACATCAACCCAGAGATAGTCAGTCTCTGGAGCAATTCGATCCGACCCGGCACTAATCAGGTGTGTGTTATGTTTTTGTGGCTGCCTGCCGTTTCCATTCGTCGAAACTACCATCTTACTACCTAGAGGTATCTGTTGTGTGTCTTACTCCGCAAAACAGACAGTGGTGATGGTGGTGATGTTTGGAGTGGTAGCGGTATCGCTGGGCTAGCAAGGCTAGGTAGACGCGGGGGAGAAGCCGACTAAGGCTAGACGCGGGGGAGAAGTGGACTGGGATATCCACGGCCACCGACTACCGTTCTTTCACATTTGACTCCCATCATGATGTTGATTCATTCTTGCGTCAAGCCCATCGACTACCGGGGTGAAAGTGATAGGGGCTGCAAATTCGAGCAGTGCTCCCGTCAGTCGACCAATATCATGTACAGTGTCCAGTACCTACCGGGCTAGAGGTATCTACACCCTGGTTCGAAGAAGGGCAATCTGGATGGAACTGAAGTGCAAAAACTGCAGGGACGGAGAGTGCTAGCTTAGTAACTTCCTCTTCTTTGACGGTTTCTCCTTCCCAATGGCGGCAAGAAAGTTGTTGTCATTTTCTTTTGTCTATGTGATTTTACGTACTTTCCTTGGGGGTCTGAGGGGGGGTCACTGCTGCGGCATAATTCAGTTCGCTGTCGATCCCGGACCCATTTGACAGCCGTTCTCGCAACCGCAACCATCTCCATTCAGGTCCGAAAAACAGAAATTCTTGGTTGCGTTGCACACAGCAATTGGAGAAGGATCCAGACCGACGTTTAGCTTCGGAGGTTCGCAAAGGGTTCAAACTAGTGGAAGAGCTCAGCAGCAGTGCTGCCACACAGAACCACAGCATCTCCGAGTGTGACTGGAGGTGGGCGCGCTGACGATCGACAGAGAACCACTCCAGATCAGACAAGTGCAGCACTGCAACCCAAAGCGCCAGCAAAAACTAGCACGAGAAGATCTCGACTCGCCTCCGCCCCCCTCGCCCGCTTCTCGGATTGCTTGGCTCCCCTGGCCCTGTTCGTCCATCATCACTTGTCAAACCCTCGCAGGCTTCCCCATCCGTTACCCATCCGTTACCCAATATTCACCAGAATTACCCATCCATGCTTGGCCACCACCTGGCATAGAGACCCGCCTGGACTTTGCCTCATCCCATCTCCGGTTTTCCTAGTGTTTTGGCTTCACGTATCCGTCACAACTCCTATCCATCCATCTCCGCCCTCCAGACGGCGTTTTGTTTAAAAGACCCCAAGCTCCCTCCTCTCTGCTCCCTCCTCTTGCTTCTTGATCAAGCAGTTTTGTTGTCGCTATTGAGGAGCCCTGGTACCTTTGCTGTACCTTGAAACGACCCCCTTCACCCACTGGTCATTCACTTTAATACCCAAACCTTCATCCCGTTGTTGTTTGTTCCCTGAAAAACTCCGCCACCTACACGTCCAAGCACGAAGCACGCACCTTCCTACAAAAGGGCCACCTTCTTGCAACGAAATCTCCATCTTGCAACTATCCAACCTTCAACCTAATTTCACCAAAACAAAGTATCAAAATGGCCGCCGCTACTCGCTCCGTCCGCATGGCCTCGCGCCTTACCTCCTTCTCCCGCCCTTCGGCTCTTTTTGCCCAGAAGGCCTCGGTCGCCCAGCGCGCCGCCTTCTCGGTTTCCATTCGCAACCTCAAGTCTGAGGTCGTCAAGGAGACGGAGGTCCCGGTCTCTATCTACTCTGGCGCCGCCTCCGCCAACGCTGGCGATCACTTCAGCATTCCTGTAAAGCCTCGCCAGCAGGTTGAGGAGAGCGAGCCCGATGAGCACGTGCAGCCCTTGGAGGACAAGGTCTACCGTCAGATGCCTCGCACTCTTCAGAAGATGAGCGTCATGGGCAAGGTCATCATCATCACTGGGTAAGCTACCTTTTTCTTCAGATCACAATCCTAAGATCAATTGCTAACAATTTCCTAGTGGTGCCCGTGGTCTCGGTAACTACATGGCTCGCGCTTGCGCTGAGGCTGGCGCCAAGGCCATTGCTATCTTTGATGCCAACCAGGAACTCGGCGACGAGTCTGCTGCTGAGCTTCACCAGAAGACTGGCCTTCCCGTCTCCTTCTTCAAGGTGGATGTTCGTGATGGCAGCGCCATCAACGCTGCCGTTCAGAACGTTGTTGACCTCTATGGCGCTCCCGACGTCCTGGTTAACTCGGCCGGTATCGCCGACTCGAACATTCCTGCCGAGAAGTACGATGCTGCTATGTTCCGTCGTCTCATCGATATCAACCTCAACGGCTCTTTCCTGATGTCCCAGGCCGTTGGCCGCGCCATGATGGCCGCTGGCAAGCCCGGCTCCATCATCCTCGTTGCCTCGATGTCCGGCACCATCGTCAACTACCCCCAGGAACAGTCCTGCTACAACGCCTCCAAGGCTGGTGTCATCCAGCTCGGCAAGTCTCTCGCTGCCGAGTGGGCCAAGTACAACATTCGTGTTAACTGCATTTCCCCCGGTTACATGGATACCGCTCTGAACAAGGTCCCTGCCCTCGACGCCCAGAAGAAGATCTGGAAGTCGCTCACTCCCCAGGAGCGTCTGGGTGCCGTTGACGATCTCAACGGTCTCTGCGTCTTCCTTGCCTCTGACGCTTCCAGCTTCATGACCGGCTCCAACGTCATCATTGACGGTGGTTACACCCTTTACTAAGCTGATCGCTTATGGGATATTTGGTTTGGGGGAACACCTTATAGACGGTTTCTGTTTTTTGGCTTGATACCCTAAGACGTTGTGTGCACGGAACATCAAGCTCCTGCACACACAAAAAAGAGTCACGGACGGATTCCAGTTTTCACGACAAAGGAAACGACACCTTTTTCTGATTTCGGTGGATCTTTTACAGTTGGCATGGCGGCTTTTCTTTTTCTCTCTACTAGACGGGCAACGGGGTTTTCACAGCGCAGCGGATTTGGCTTGCTGGAAATCTTCTTCGAAACGAAAAGACACAGGAAAGACGGGATGGCGTTTGGGGACATGGATGAATGATTTACTTTTTTCCTCGAGTTGAGTTGCTTTGCTTGCTCTTTGACGCTCAAAGAAAGTCACAACAAAATGCGGGGTGAATGGGGAAAGGGCCCTCCATGATCGAATCGAACATGGTCTCTCTTGATAATAGGTAGACGACATGATTCTTGGCGTCAACAATCATGACTGCTTATTCAACTTCAACACATACTCTTCCCTTTTTCTACCGCTTCGTGATATCGTGATACGTAACTCGCTTGAAGCCGTCCCCATCCCGCAACCGCGAAACACGAGACACGAGAATCAGAGCCGTTGAAAACCGCGATCATTCGACGGTTGACAGCTTGAATACGACACGATACTACAAGCCACATTTCCTTTCAACAACGACGCGACGCACAAGGCCAAAAGACTTCAACAAAACTAACGAGCACAGGGACGAACGTCTCTTTGAATCCAAAATCTCGTGGCCCTGTGGCTCTTTCTTTTGAGTTAGGTACCTCTTTGGTCCCTCTATCTAAATGACGTCACAAAGTGGATCCAGCCTTTCTACATCGATAAGAACCAAGGAAAGAAAGGACGGTCGTGATTTTTTTAAGTTGATTAGTTGGTTAAGTGATTAGTTATACTGGGTCACTGGCATCAATAATAATCAAAATTCTTGGTATGAGTGGGGGGGACGGAATGGCCTGACCCTGGAAAACGGAAAACGGAGGAGGACCCTACTTAGGGGTAGGTAAGGTACTGTAGGGGTCGAGGCAGTCAACAGTAATCTTGGGAACAGGAACAGAGACGCTGGAAAAGTTCGGTACGGCGGAATATCTGTGAAAGAGCTGTTGGATGAATGGGCGGGATATCCAGGGTAGAGAGATGAAAACTGGGGAGGCAAGCTAGCTAGCTGGCTGGGAGACCGACGGGAATGTGTTTGTATTGCGAATGAATGATCGGTTGGATAGTTCCTTCGGTGCGTGTTATGGGTTACGACGGGTTGGTTTGGTTGGTTAGGTGGTGCTGATGGGTCGGTGAGGTCGGCTCGAACCAGGACAGGACTAGACAGGCTTCATCGGTTGAACTTTGATGAGACTTGGGAAAGTTCTGTTATATGGTTGGTGTTGAGGACGCCGAGATTCGGACTGGACTCGGCTCCTCTCAACACGAAGAAAGGCTTTTCGATTTTCACGCATACCACATCAAGAGGAAATAGGAATCGGTTTCAAGCCTCAACGTTCACTTCAATACTACTTCCGTATCCTCAAGCTATCTTTACCATCCTTCCCGTCTGCTTCTTCATCCCATTCTCAACTTCCACTTTGTCCTTGCCATCCTTCCCCCCCGTCAGCATGAAGAAACGTCAACAACCATCCTACTTACCTACCTTAGTTAACAAAAGCGCACCATGATGACAGGCCCAATAGACACACACTCTCTAGCCCTCAACGTGAAAATCCTGCCCCATCCATCCTGGTGTACAAGTTCAAATTCTTCTTCCATGTTGTATAGTACCGTAGCAATCATCAATAACCAAGAAAAAAAGATGTTCCGCCTCTTGACACAATCCCCAATTCCCAACCCAAAGCCTGTAGTAACCCATGAATAAGACAAGAGCTCATTTATCTGTGCGTGCGTATCGAAAGGCCGTTGTCGTTCGAGGAAACCAGTAAACAGAAAAACATCAGTCGCGCTCCGGCTCGCTGTGCTATGCCTTTTACTTCGCCATGTGCTCTGGCTTGCTTGCTCGCTTGCTTTGCATTTCGTATTCCGCTCGCTCGCTGTGTAACGGTTCGTGTTTTGTTCCACGTGTAGATGTGTGTGTATACGTGTGTGCTCCGGGTTCGTTCCCGCTCGTTCGGTCAAGAAATATCCTTCGTTCGTAAAAAAGATAAAAAGAATACCAAAAAGAATTGGCGTTTAAGGATCGAAAGTACATATGTTATGTGTTGGGTACCCATAGATCGCTCAAACCAAGAAAAAAATCCCAGCAGATGCAAAATCAAAGATCTGGCCGGCCATGTAAAAGGTAGAGATCAAGATGATGACCTAACCCAATCCACAACTCTCTTCTGTAGGAGAGAATTGCTTCAGAACCAAAAAGTAAAGAACAAAAGCGGGATGCGAAACAATAACGCTCCAGGGGAATATCTCTCGTGCGCGCGTGAACAGCACAAAACGCCTAGAAGGATCACACACTACTGGCCTTTACGGGCCTTTTCTTGGGCTCGGGCTTCCCTCGCTGCTCGGACTAGGGGCGCCAGTGTTGATAGGTCGACGCACTTGTTCATGAAGTCGTGCTGTTACAGGAGTTAGCTCGGGTTCCCGGCAAGAATGTCATCATCAAACTGAAACTGGTAGCGAAAAGTAGAAGGTGGAAAGCCGCAGAAAGATGGCCAATCAAGATACCGGGGACGAATCAAGACTTACTCTTAGCAGATCATGAGCGCTGGCCCTCTTCTCCGGGTCTACCTTGAGGGCAAAGTAGAGGAAGTCGCGGAACACTGGCGAGAGCGACTGCTCATCCTTGATGTGTGGCGTGCCGTTGGTCGCAATGAGCCAAAGTGCTCGAAGAGGCGACTCGGTCAGATAGGGAGGTTCTCCTTCAATCATCTCGATGGCCATAATGCCCAGTGACCAGATATCCACCTTGCGGCCGTACTCTTTGCGTGTCACAACCTCGGGCGCCATCCAATAAGGCGTGCCGACCATTGTCGTGCGCTTACTTTGAGCTTCGTTGATTGTAGCACAGAATCCAAAATCGGCTATGGTGAAAGAACATAAATTAGTATCGGGTCACAACATTAAACGGGCGTGGGTTGAAGAGATGGACAGAAATGGACGGGAAAATGGTTAAAAAGATTGAAATTTCCGAGATTGCTGAAGTGGACAGAACGGAAGACTTACTGAGCTTGATATTGCCCTCCATACTAAGAAGGATGTTGTCTGACTTGATATCTCTGTGGATGACACCCTTGGAGTGCAGATGTTGAAGGCCCCTGAGAGTTTCACGGCAAACTGACGCAATTTGTCCTTCAGTCATGATGTTGAACGTGACAACATCCGTCAAGCTACCGCCCTCCATGTATTCCATCACCACCCACAATTCTCCGGCACACAGGTAACTGTCAATAAAGTTGACGATGTTGGGGTGTGAGCTCTCCTTCATGACCAGGATCTCGTTGATAATGAGATCCTTCTTTGGCTGCTGCTCAAGGTTCATCTGCTTGATAGCCACCAATCTATTGCTTCCCCGTTCATGGCCAGTGTATACACCACCAGAGGCACCCTGACCAATTTTGGTAAACCCGCGGTAGATCTCCCTCGGGTCACCGTCGGAGCATATCCTCTTAAGGGAAGCCACAACATCAATCGCGTTGCTTTGCCGTGGTCTGTGACGAGGTCTTGCGCTAGCTTGGGGAACTGCGGCTTGAGCTTGTGGCATACGAGGAGCTCCGTTGACGTCTGGTTGCCGGGGGTGTTGGTGTTGTGAGGTGGGCGGGGTGGGTTGTTGTCTCTTGCTCGCAGCTCGGCTCAGTTGACCACTCATTGCTGCTTGGGCTTGGGCCATGGCCTGTTCTTGCTGGTGTTGCAACAATTGCTGCTGGTAAGCCGCGGTCTGGTTCGCCGCGGCGATCGGGAGAAGTGGGGAGGAGGCCTGCACAGGAGAAAATGGAGCAGCGCCGTTTGTCCGGGAATTCGATCTGGACCTGTTCCTGTGCTCCTCCTGGTACATATGCTGTACATTATCCTTGGGCGGGAGGTACGGCATCGGGGGCTCATCACCTGGCGGTGGCATGCCAATTCCCGAATCCTTGGCTGGGTATGAGGTTGGCGGCACGAGCGGTCGCGTGGATATGTTTGCTGGTGGCTTCGGTGCCGGTCGGCTGGGGATCAGGTTGATATCCTTTGCTGGAAGGGGACCCGGGCCCTTGGGTACCGGCGGCGGCGCACGGGGATTCTCAAAGCTGCCTTCATGACCAACCTGGGGAAACCTAGGACTAGCGGGTGGACTGATCATTGGCGACATGGGACCATGAGTGTAGCCACCGCCTGTTTGCAGTACGAGCGGAGTGGTGCCGGTCACTGGCGGGCTGCGGAAATCGGTCGCTCGTGCATCATGGAACTTCTCTAGCTGTTGGTCTTCTTGTGGCTTCTCCGTCGTCTCCTTGTAGAATGTGAGGACATCAACCAGTATTTGTGGGTGTTCTCTTCTGTCCTTCTCGGTGATTCCACTCTCGCTTATCAAACGCTGCCACTCTTTCGGCAAGCCCTATCAACGTGTTAGTCCATCGATAACTTTTCCACTAGTCAAATTCGCATGCCAACCTACCGTAAATTGACCAGTATTGCTATCATAGCCGACATGTGTTACGTGAACGGGATTCTCTGGTGCCGAAATCAACGGCTTTTTCGGAGACCCGACTAAGCTGTTCATGAAGCCGGAGAAGCCCGACTTCTTCCTTAGCATGCCGGGAACCCTGGATTCTTTACCATCACCGGAGTGTCTCTTGTTACTCGAAGAACTGCTCTCTGACTTGGACGGCTTTTCGCTTGGCGGAAGTTGTTCAGCCGACGAGAAACTCGCCGAGTGGCGGAATGAAGACGCGCCCATGGTCTTGTTTGATGTGGTGGATTTGGGCGACTTTGACGGTTTTGAAGATCTCACAGCCTTGGAGTCTGTGTTTGAGCGCGATAGAGGGAGCGGGGGAGGAGGGGGTGCGATACGACGAGGAGAGATGTTGTTGAAGTGCGCAATCGTGGTCGTGGTCGTGGGCGCGGGCGCGGCTGATAATTTTGTCGCCTCGATTCGATTGAGAATGGCTTTGCCGTCGAATGGAGCGCCAATCAGTTCATCCGTGGATGATTTGTTTTGATCGAACGATCCAATGCAGGAGTCTAGTGGGTCGTACTGCTTGGATGTGTCCTTGTTCCTGGAGCTAGTAACGGTGGTGTTGGCGGCAGCGCTGGGATAATGCTGCGATTGATATTGGGGTTGCGACGACGAGGTAGGCGAGAGGATAAAGCCGTTGGTTGGTATTGTCTGCGTCGGATTGTAAGGGCAATTTGCGGATTGAGAGCGAGTGGTGTGGGAGCGTGGCAAAGAGAGGTTGCTGGCTTTGGCGTTGGCGGGCGCGTTTGAAGGGACGGAGACGGGGACGGATACGGTCCTGGCCAGAGAAGGGTTTTGGCTGCTGCTGGGGCCCCGGCGCAGGCTGGAGGAGCTCCGTTTGCTGTCTAGAGATTGGGCGTCAATACGGAGCGATTCGACATTGAAAGAGGAGCTAGTGCGGTGATTTGTGGATGGCGGGCGTTGCTTCTTTGTGAGTCTTTTGCGATGCGAAGTGGAGGAGGACGAGGTGGGCGAGAGGAGGGAGAGCTGGCCGTCCATGGTTTGAAGCAAAGGCAAAAGAAACCCAACCCTAGTCGGGGAGGGCAGCGAGGGCTGAAAGATGGGGTAACTACTAAGAATAAGAAAAGACAAGAAAGATGTTCAACGTACGGTACTGGTTTGGCTGGGGCCGGGTCAACCAAAGCAGGCGAGACTTGGAGAAGAGACGGGAATTGGGGGGTGGTAGCAGTTATTGAGGCGGGCGGGACAGACACAGAATGGACAAGACAAAAAGTCGACAATTGAAGGGGACGGGACCCTGGAAGCTTGATGCCGGTCGATAATTGCGCTTTGGTTTCGTTGTGGTGGGATCGTGTACAAGTTGAAGGTACAAGGTAGGAAAAAGACAGACCCCGGACCGGCGATGCTGGGTTTGGCGGGGACCAGGTAGTCTGATGCTTTCTGTTGTTGCTTGTGTGTGGGAACTCGGACCACTTGGGTAGATAGGACTCTGTAGTCTTGTCTCTGGATGACGATTGCTTGATGGATCTCGAAGCTTTAGAGTGCTTATCACGACAGGGTCCGGCTACCTTTGAAAGTGGTTACCAGACGTTAGCTTTGTGGTCTTTGCACGGCACCCGATTGAGCAGGGCAAGCAACTGGGGTTGCTCTCGTGGTGGTGCTACAAGTGCGCAGACTCTAGAGGGACTTGGTGACTTGGTGACTGGGGATTGGGCTTTTGTGTGTGTCCAATTGTGGTCCAACTTGTGTGCCGTTGACAACGGGTAAACTCGTCAATCTCGTTATCGACTCGTAGGCCGGGCTCAAACAACCCGAGATGACGGACGGACTGTATGCGCGGCGCTGTTGCTGCTGCTGCTGCTGCTGCTGCTGCTGCTGCTGTCGTCTGAAGTCGTCTGGCTGTCGTTGCTGACGGAGGGTCGGACGGCGGGCGGGGACACTCGGTCTGCAGATGCCAGATGGGAATTGGAGACAAGGACGCAGAGTTCAGGGGAGCATATGTCTGTGTCTATCCCGAAATGGAAAAGATGACTGCTTGACTGCTGTCGGGCGGCTGTTGCTTGCTGCACCGCACACACACAGAGGGCACATACACTTTCGGCTTCAGTTGTAGACAGACAGACGGGAGTATGTCCGACCTCACGCTCGAGTCTGGCTTCTGGGAAGCAACAAGTCTGCACCTCACTCTGCAGTGTGGGCAGGCCAGGGCAGGCAAGGCAGGTGGAGACGGTGGAGACGGGAGAGTGGGGCTGGCATCACTGGGAACGGGCATCCCGTTGCTTCCCCGTCTAACACCCGCTCTGGACCTTGCTTGGCGCCGTTAACGTTGTCGATACTATGTACACTATAGACGACTTTGACGTGTAGGGTACCACTCAAGGGCAATGTCGATAACTTTCTGCACTCTCCCACGTTTGCAGAATTACGTCCGAGACCAGTCTGGCTCGGTCTGTTGGTCCGGTATCCTTCCCTGCGAGGCCTACTCTGCTACTACATACGTACAAGCAGGTTCCGATCCTGGACTGGACATCTTGGAGAACTGGACGGCGTGCAACCTCTCAGGCTTTCTGTCCGACAGTACCTCTACAACACAGCCACAATCTTTGCTCGCCCGCGTCAATCATGGCCAGGACAACCCCTCCTTCTTGTCCTCCGTCTGCTCCGTCTCCTCCTGCGTACAGTGAGGTGTGAGGTGCTCATGCTCCTCGCGTGTTCAAGCTCGGCGCGATAGGACCGTCTCTAACCAACATTCGAAAACGACAAATCGCCATCACGCTCATCAGCCAAGATTTGGTCCCTCGGTACATACGTCCAAGGGGAGTCCAAGGGCATAAATCCAAGGTGGAGGCTATCACGCTGTTTACACGCCGTCCTCTCGGCAACCGTGATTAAATGCCCCGGCCTTGTGGGGTAGATATGGCCTAACGGGCGGAGTCGAAACGCCTGTCTTGGTCCTTGGATTTCCATCGTCCCAGTCCCTGGCGTTTGGCCTCCACTCTTTTTTCATGCGTCTGTGGCTGTTAGATTTACTGGTGATTGATTGATTCTGTGTAGTCTATGTAACTAACTCGAGCGCTCTGGTATGGGGGGTTCTGGGGGTAACCCATATTTGCTAAGACTTGTTAAATCAGGTGGCTGGGACTCTGGCATCTAGCCGACATCTGGCTAGAATGCTACCCTAGAATTTAATATACCTTCTTACTTGCAGACCTCTTTTTTCTCTTTAAAGTTAAAAGTAAAGCTATTTATATATTGCTTTCGTCGTTTTATATTTCTAAACCTAATATTTTATTTAAATTATTAAAATCCACTTCTCCCAGTACCGGATTATCTCTCCCTCCGCTATCTTCCCGCGGTAGCACCTTAATTATCCCTAGCAATTCCCTAAATCTCTTATGTTCTAGAATATTTAGTGCCTTTATTAATCTATTGATTAGTATTAGTTTTATTTTTAAATATTTGATATTGAGAGTCTTTTTTTCGAGAATTTCTCTTTTTATTTAGTATTTATAAATATTTATATACTTTATTTTTATATTGAAGGTGGGCGTTTCCTTTGTGAGTACCCTAATAGTTTATTAGTTATTATAATGTAGAGTGGGAATGGGATCCTCTTATAGGCTTATTCCTAATGCTGATATTAATCGGTTTATAAAGAGAGTCTCTTTAACTACCTTTTCGATTACGTATAATTCTATTTCTATCATTAATATAGTAACCGTAGTTTGTTTAATTACTCCTTAGTAAATTAAATTACTATATAGTTTAATTATAAAACCTTAGGAGCTTTTATAGTTATTTTTATTATTAGTAAATGAGGTATTAGAGGTAATTTCGAATTTATTACTTCCGCTAAAGTAGAGTGCCTATATTTTTATTATTCTTAAATACTGTATAACCTTCTCGCTCGTTGCTAAGTGAGTAGAGTTAGGATTGTGATTATATTTAATTAGTTTATTTAACGAAAATATAATATTAAATCGAGTATTGATTATTATATATAGTAAAGAGCCTACGTTAATTTAGTATATTTATACTTTTCTACAGTTAGTAATACTTTCGAAGGGTATTAATTTTTTATAGCTTATAGGTACTAAAATTGGTTAATAACTAAATTTAAATAATTTAGTATTTTTATTAATATATACTTCTTGAAATAATTAGATCTTTCTTTAGTTTCGATTATGTATAACTTTAATACTTAGAAATTATTAAAATTCATCTCCTCTTATTAAGTAATATTGTAATTGTAATTTTATAATATATTTTTTATCTTCGTTTATTTTACTTTTATTGAATATAAAGACGATATTATTAATATAGTACAATATAAAAATAATTTTTTTCTTTATAATATATAGGTTTTTAGGGATTATTTTGAATTTTATTAATTTAAATACTCTATTTAGTTTCCGTTGCTATAGTAAAGGAATTTATCGGAGATTGTATAAGGCCTTAATAAATTTGAGAACTTTTTGAAGTATTCGATATTTTAGTAGTATGTATATATAGATCTCTTTATTAAGGTAGGTATTTATAAAAGCCTTGACTGCATTATATTAAATAAGTTTAAAATTAAAGCGAATAGTAAGAGCGATAATAGTACGAAATAATCGACTTGCGAGAGTAAATACGTACATATTAATTTTTATTTTTCATTATTAATTATTTCCTACGACGAATTTCGTTTTTGCCCTTATTAAATATCCCGTTTTTATTGAATTTATAAGTATAAACCTATATATAGTTGAAGATTTACTTCCGTTTAGAGTAGGGGATATTTTTATTTATGTCGATTTATATTTTTATATTTTTGTAGCTTTTGAAGTGAATTTCTTTTATTTTTTTTAAATTATTAGTTAAATATATAATTATTTAGATTATAGTACTTCTTAAGTATAAGGAGGAAATTGTATTAATGTACTTTATTAAAACGATTGTGTTTTATAATTAATTATTCGATTTCCACTTTAGTAATTACTTTTTTTATTTATTTTAACTATTAATTAAATTAATTTATTAGTACTAAAAGCAATTTCTTATAATTTTTAATAATAAATATATTAGTCGATATTTCGGTCGATAGAATAGCCGGTATAGAATACGATTAGCAGGGTAGATAGAGGCGATAGGTATAAATTTATAATATATTTGATAAATATTTTATTATTAGTAAATTATTAAATTAATACTTCTTATAGTTAATTGCTTTTATTTTAAGAGATTTCTTAGTTTCCTTAATAATCCTCTTAATTTTAATCGAAGAGATTTAATAGGAGAGGTTTAATATTATTATTATTAACGTCGTTTAATAGTATATAATCTTCGATATAGAATAATTTAAATACCCCGAAGGTTAATTGGTAGGCTCGTTTAATTTATTAAGTAAATCGGCGAATTCTTCGCTAGTAATTTTGACGTCGTTTTTGAACTTTTTAATATTTAGGTAGTAGGTAATATCCTTATCGAATATTACGTCCCTAGTTTAAATAATCCGATTTGTATAAGAATTTTATATATAATAAATTGAAGTCGTTGAATAATTAATGAAATAACCGATTTACGGCCTTTAGGTTGTACTTTTGAAGTTTTTACTCCTTCCTCTAAGTAGTATTTATTATAGTAAATACTTTATACTTATAAATTCGAAGGTAATTTAAATCTAGTTTGCGTAGTTCTTATTAATTGTATTAGTTCGCGATATAGGTATAGAATCGTTCGAAGGGTGATTTCTAATTATATCATTAACGAGGGGAACGATTAATAAAAAAAATAGCTATATAAATAATTTTTAACTATAGATTTTTTAATATTTTTGAATTGAATAATATTATATAGTATTTCTCTTTAATTATACTCCTTAAATATTTTACCCTCTATTTTATATTTAAATATTAGGAGTAGAAAGTTTAAAAATTGTACTATACTAGGCGAATTTATTTTTGATTTTATTATTTATAAATTCATTATTATATTCGACAGTTTTAATGTTAACATTATATTTCCGCTAGTTATTTCGAAGGTCGTTATGTATATAAATTAATTTAATAACGGTGCGCTACGAACGAGGTTTTGGTAAATAAAAGGGGGATAATTTCGATAATTATTTAATTGTAGATAGTATTTAAATAGTAAAAGAATGAATTGTTAGCCTTCTTTAGATAATTATTTAGTAGTCGATAGTCCTAGTAGAAACTTTATTTTCGTAATTGGAAATAAGAGACGAAGTTAATAGTAAAGCTAGGGTAGAAGGCGATTTCTTTTAGCTGTAGCTTTAGGGGACCGCTCTTATCCTTAATAATAATATTGACTTCCTTAAATCCTTTAACTTCTATTTAAATATTATTAGTCTATAAAGAGTTATCCGGATTAATATAATGAAAGTTAATGAAACGAGTAATTTTATTAAATATATAAAGCGAATTATTTAAATTAAATATTATTGAATTTTTGAAAGGGTAAATTTCGTTTCTAGCTTTAAATACTTTATTAATTCAAAAGGTTACTTTACAAGCCCGATTCAATAATTATATTAATTTTTCCTTTTCAATTTCCTCCTTCTTCTTAGAGAATTTAGTTGTTTCCTTAGCGAGTTTTAGATTTTTCGCGAGGTTGGTTTTAATAATATATTTAAGAGAGAGGTATAGTTTGAAGTATGAAGGTTCTGTACTTAGGTTAATATATTAATAGTTTGTAAGAGAATAATGGCCTCTTTTATATATTTTATATATTATATTATTACCCTTTTTACGCGGTTGAATTTCGAATTTATCCGACGGGAGTTTTCTTTTCCTTACGCCTTTGGGCTTTTTATTTTTAGTATCGTAACGAGCGTTTTTATTTTTAGTATAGTTATAGTTATTACTATTATATTTTTAATTATTATATTCGATATTGGATTCGTTAGTACTAAAGGTACTATAATAGATCTCTCTTCTTCCTCCGGCGGCGATTTTACGACGAATTTTATCGATATTATATTATTTAAAGTTTTTATAAACTTCTATATATTTGAGAATATTAGCGGTTATTTCTTTATTAAATTTCTAGGCGTTATCGTACTATTTAGGACGGACGATCTTAATTATATTAATAAAATTAGAGTATTATAAATTCGCAACGACAATTTTACTAATTCCTTTACTCTGCCTATTATTTATAATAGTAGATTAGGTTTCTAATTAATTGATTTAATTCTTAGGTTCTTTCGTAAAAATAGCGACGGCTGTATAGTATATTTTTTTTACTTTGATTTAATCGTCGATTACTTTATAATTCGTTATTTATTTAAAGTTTCGATACTATTTATCGGTATCCTATTCTTCCCTTATAACTATTACGCGAAGCGATACTTTACAAATAATACTAATACAAAATAATAAAGTGAGCAACTAGTTACTAAATAGAGCAACAGTACGTAACGGTTAACAACAGTCTTATTAAAGGAAGCTAGAAACAAATACTATCGAAAGCCTCAACCTAGGACCTCGCATATAACTTTATAGAATATAAGCAAGATAAACGTTAGGTTAATATAATATAAATTAATAATCCAATTAACTTCAACGGAAATTAATAGGGAGAATACTTTTATATAATATATCCTACTCGATAAAATAACCCTACGCTTAATAAAATATATATTAAGATAAATTTGGGCATTTAAGTACTTACTTAGAATATC